CGTGATGATCGGGACGGTGGTGGCCATGTCGGGCGGCGGCTCGCTCAGCAACTCCGACTTCCTTGGCGGTTGGCCGTCGGTCTTCTACATCTTCGGCGGCCTCGGGGTCGTGTGGGGCGTCCCCTGGTTCCTCCTCGTGCACGACCGGCCGGAGCACCACCCGAGGATCAGTCCGGCGGAGATGGACTACATCAGGAGGCACCAGAGTACTGTTAAACGCGAAGAGGTGGGAAGGAGAGGGTTGGGTTAGGTTTAAGTAGTAGGGTTGGGTTGGGTTTAAGTGGTTGTTGGGTTGGGTTCAAGTAGGGTTGGTTGGTTAAGTTGGATTTAGGTTAGGTTAGGTTAAGAACGAACTAGTCTTTGGTCGCACTGGTAAAAGCGTGGTGTGTGTGCAATAGTGTCTTTGATCTCTCTTACGTATGAACCATATTCATGACAAATGTAGATATATTCATTCTCATTCATACCTTTCTACAACTCTCTTTTCGGGGACGATTATATACCCCACTACGCCATGTTGAGGCAAATCATACCATGTTTATGAAAAATGAACAGATAATCGAAAAGGAATTTGAGATCTAGACTTTTATCAAAATTATTATCTTTTACTTGTCATACTGACGTTAATGCATACGTGGATGACATGCAGCGGGTTTTTTTTTTCTAACATTCAGGTTATTATTCATTTCCATCTCATATTTAGCTTCCACTATCATCTGTTTCCTCTAACATGAATCTATTTCGTGCATTAATAATCGACCACGCATCATGTGTTCTCACATATCAATTCGCGCCCACAGAAAGTCGCCATACCTTGGTTAGACATTCTGAAGTCCGCGCCCTTCTGGTCCCTCATGATAGCCTCTCTGGGCTACAACTACGGCTTCTACACTCTGCTCACCGAACTGCCCACTTACCTCAGCAACATCCAGCACTTGGATATGGCGAGTGTGAGTACTGAGTGGTACAGACGGCAGGGAAATACTAAACTATCGAGTGCCATAGCATGCGATATATCTGTTCGTCTCTAAGTGGAAGCGTATATTGTAAAGATAATGGTGGTGATATTAACAATGACTATGATTAACGATTATAATGATAATGATAATAATAATAATACTAAGGATCAAAATATTGCTGCTAATTATAGCAATGATAATGACCCTCATATGATTATAATAATAATGATAACAATAATAATAATAACAATAATAATAATAACAATGATAATGATAACAATAATAAAAATAATGATAATTACTATAACAATCATAAAAAAGAGTGAACAGAAAGTTTACAAATAATAATAACCAAAATCCCCTCCCGTTTTCCACCTGCCAGAGCGGCTTCATGTCCGCTCTGCCGTATCTGGTCATGATGGTTGCGACGATCCTCTGGGGTCAGCTGATGCACCTTCTCTTATCAGCTGATAAGATTTCGGTGCTCATGGTCAGGAAGGTCTCCACAGCTGTTTGTAAGTAATGTACTGTATTGTAGTTTTTTTTTCAAAGTAGTAAGCAATAGATTGAACGCTAAAGGCAAATAGTAAAGTAAACACACACACACATATGTGTGTATTTATATGCATACACATACACACACACATATGCATAAATACACACACACACACACACACACACACACACACACACCACACACACACACACACATATATATATATATATATATATATATATATATATATATATATATATATATATATATATATAATATATATATATATGATTATATTATATATATGCATATAATTATATATGTGTTTGCATGATATATAAACATATATATATATATATATATATATATATATATATATATATATATATATATATATATATATATACATATATATATATATATATATATATATATATATATATAATATATATATATATTATATATATATATATATATATATATATATATATATATACATATATACACACTTGTGTGTATATATACATATATGTATGTATATTCATCTATATATATACGTATACATATATATACATATGCATATATGTGTGTGTGCATGTGTGTGTGCGTGTGTGTGTATGCATGAACGTATATATCATAAATTTTATTTATAACATGACAATAAGAAAATAAAAAAGTAAAAAAAAAAAACATTGCAACGAAATACAAGAAACCGAGACCCATCTCCAGACAGGAAAGTCTTGCGCCACTCACGCCCCCCACCCCTCTCTCTCCCCTCTCCCTCCCCCTCTCTCTCCCCCCTCCCTCCCCCAGGCATGTACGTCCCGATGGCGGCGCTGGTCGTGCTGTGCTTCGTGGGCTGCGACGCGGGGCTGACCCTGGCGGTGCTGTGCGTGGCGGTGGGCGCGAGCGGCACCAACTACAGCGGCGTGTCCATCTCCGAGCAGGACATCGCGCCCAACCTCGCCGGAACGCTCAAGGGCATCACCAACACCGTGGGCGCCGCGACGGGCATCGTGGCGCCGCTGGTCACGGGCGCCATCACGCAGGGAAATGTGGGTTTGCGGGCGTGGGCGTTCGGGCGCGGGGTTTATTGGTCTGTCTGTTTGTTCGGTTATTTGTTATGTATGTCATTAATTTTGCCCATCTCTATGTATCTATGAATTTCGTTCTCACTTTACTTCTTTCTCTTTTCGTCCAAACACACACACACAGACACACACACACACATGTATATGTATATACACATATACATATATATGTGTATGAGTGTATGTGTGTCCACATAATTACCAATCTTTTACCCTGATCGTTATCATTTTACTAGGATTTCTGCCGTGGTTGCCAATTACCACTTCCGGTAATGCTTTCCACTCCCTTTGTGCATTTCCTCTTTTGCCAAACCCTATGATTAAAATTATACTATAGATTAGTATAATTGTTATCATTATTACTGTCGTTAATGTTGCTGTTTTCGTTGTCATGGATGTTGTCATTATTATTATCATTACCATCGTTACTATTATTATCATCGCTGTCCTTATATTTGATATTATCATAGCGGTTATTATTGTTATTATCATCATTATCATCATTATCATTATTGTCATTATTATTATCCTTATCATTGTTATTGTCATTATCATTAATATTACTATTATCATTATCATTATCATTATTAGTATTATCATTAGTTTTATTATTATTATTATTATTATTATTATTATTATTATTATTATTATTATTATTATCCTTATCATCATCGATTAGTAGTAGTATCATTATCATTATTATTATTATTATTATATTTTCATCATCATTGTTAACTTCAGCAAAATCGTAGTCACCATTACTATAAGTATTATTATTAGAAAAATATTATCTTAACCATCATCAGTATGATCATTTTCGTGATCATTATATTCATCACCACCATCAGCAGCAGCAGCACTGTCACAAATACCGCTACCATCACCATCATCACCATCACCATCTCCAATATCATCACCATCACCACCATCACCATCATCACCACCATCTCCAATATCATCACCACCAACACCATCACCGCCGCCATCATCACCACCATCTCCAATATCATCACCACCATCACCACCACCACCATCATCACCACCACCACCATCACCACCAACAACACCATCATCACCACCACCACCATCATCACCATCCCTACCCTTTCAGCAAACGTTGGGTGCCTGGCGTATCGTGTTCCTGATCTCCGCAGCTCTGTATTTCGTCGTCACCACCGTCTACCTGCTCTTCGCTACGGACAAGGTTCAGCCCTGGAATTTCCCAAAAACGGAAAAGGGTAAGAGTTTGTGTATGTATTGTGTGTGTGTGTGTGTGTGTGTGTGTGTGTGTGTGTGTGTGTGTGTGTGTGTGTGTGTGTGTGTGTGTGTGTGTGTGTGTGTGTGTGTGTGTGTGTGTGTGTGTGTGTGTGTGTGTGTGTGTGTGTGTGTGTGTGTGTGTGTGTGTGTGTGTGTGGTGTGTGTGTGTGTGTGTGTGTGTGTGCATTCGTTAGTTTTGTTTTTTTGTTTGTATGTGCGTCATTGTATGTGCTTGTGTATATTTGTGTGCGTGTTTGATTTTGTGTGTGTGTTGTATGTATTCTTTATGTGTGTGCTTGCATTTGCGTGTAGTTTTGTCATGTTACTGTGGCTGCTTGTGGGCGTTTTAACACTTTTTTGGGGTGTGTATGTGGCCACACGTCCAAGCGTGGTCACATGTGCTTGAAATAATTATAACTACAAAACATTTGATAAAACTAGTTCATATCTTTTAAAAATTCACATCGAAAACGCTATCTACATCAAAGCGTGTTAAAACATAATAATGTATATATATTTCCCATCCTATATCCAGATTCTAGAAGGTTTTAAGGCGTGGAATCTTTTAAAATCTGTGAACAACGGACCCCTACGCATCTACACGCAACCTACGCCCCCAAAGTACACTCATAGCCTAAGTGTTTACACCCTCTGCGGACGAGGGCGAGACGGAGAGTGAATCAGGGACTACGCTATCTGACCGGAAACTACTGTGAGGCTGAACGACCATTTTATCCACTGAACCCGAAGACTAGAAGGGTGTGCCATTCGTTGAACCCCAAAGTCGATGGTTCCACACATATTGAGCTATTTTGGGTCGAAGAAATGCACGAGAGATTGAACTACAACCCAAAACAAACTAAGATGTTGAACTACGAGCTTACTTACTTTTTCCAAAGACTATGCACGGACTGAATTTCTGAACTGCTACGACTTTGCATATATAGACTACAATATAGACTTTGCACATACCGACTACAATAGCCAAAAAAGTACTGAAACCGGGAACTAATATTAAGATTACAATGGCAGGGAACTCCTCGACGATTTACTGCAATGGTAATACATCTTTATCACTGTATTCTGTACTCCTGTGATACATTAAATATTTAATGACAAGGGAATGATTTTCGATTTATAAGCAAATAAGATTTTTTTTTATAGATTTGTACAGCAAGTTTAGCAGAATAATGATAA